ACGCGTTAAAGACCATAATGCTTTTTGTTCAGGAGAATGTTTATAATTTCACGCTGCTCCCTTAGCCCCAGCTTTTCCAAATTGCGGATTAGTATCACCCTTATTATAATCAAGGTTCGCAGTTGGAGCAGGTCCAAGAGCTATTCGTCTAATATTATTTTTACCTTCTTTGATTTTAAGTATTCCTTCTAACCCTGCCTCTGTTAAATGTACTTTTGATTTTAAGTATTTCTTCTAACCCTGCCTCTGTTAAATGTACTTTTACTTTCATCATCTCTCCTACCTTTTTAAAATCTGCGTAATCCAATGCCTTAACGCCTTGAATCCCATATTTATCGAAGAAAGGAATGACCTTGTCAGAAATGTCAGAGAATCGGGTTACGATAAACTCACTAGATTCTCGCTTGGAATCTAGATAAAACCTACCACAGCCTAAATAAAGGCATAGAGTTTTAATTAGCTGAATATCACGACTATGCTGAGTTATTTGAAATTTTAAGCTAACAGTAAAGCCGGTTTTAGTATTATCTTTAAAAACACAAATCATGAAACACCCATCACCAGACGTCAAACCAGCTAGCCAATGAGGATCTTGGATTTCTTGATCTACAACTTCGGGTCTCGTAACACCAATAGTATCAGGAAAGCTGGCTTTTAACTCCCCGGATAAACCATTATTAAGCGAGGCTTTAATAGCCAAAATTTTTTGTAGTCCCTCTGGCGTTAAATGTTCTTTACATTTAACTAGTTCAAGAGCTTGTTTAAATAGAGAATAGTCAGCTCATTTTTGAGTTAACAAGGGGTATTTATCAAAATGAGCTATTAGTATATTTAAATCTTTAAGAGAATAAACTTTATAGGCAATAGAATTCTTTCCATTACTTCCAATACTACCCACTCCACCGAAATGAAATTTAATTAATTCTAAGAGGACTCTATCCTTTTCATGTAAAGTAAGTTGAAAACGAGGTAAGACTACTCACCCCAGTTTTGAATTTCCTTTCTTTTGAAGATAAATACCTCAGCAACCCTCAGCATCTGTAAAGCCAGTGACAAATAAAGGATGAAGCAAAGCTAAACCTGAACGATTAGGTTGCGCCAGAGAAGATTTTGAAGTGAGGCTATTTAATTTTTTTTGCATGTTTTTATTTATTATCGTTTGATTTATTTTTTATATATGCTTTTTTGTATATCATATTTCAATTTATTTACTTATTTTTTGGAAGGAACTGAGTAAAAGCAAAATGATTAAGGAACACTAAATAGTAAAGTAGAATTAATTTTATACCGAGCTAAGCGCTAAATAAATTAGAGCCTACCTCTGGTTACCACCCCTATCTCTTCTATATATATATATTATATATGAAGAGATTCTGTGTAGGAAGGGTCGCTACTATAGTTAACCCCACCTCTGCACCCTCAGCTGCACACTATAAGGATTTTCAATTCTTGAATTTCTTCTACTCTCGAAAACTAGTACTTTTCAGAAACCCGTAAAAAGAGGGGGTGGGTCAAGGTCAATTCCTTGCTTTAGCAACGAAATTTGTAGCTTGAAGGATGTACGACGGCGACTAGCGCCGTCTTGACACATCCTACCCACCCCCTCCTTCGTTTTATTAATATTATTAATATTAATAATACGCTCCGCTAGTGAAACGACCCATACATAGCCCTAAAGGGCTTGCCCCTCCCCCCTCTGATTTCCTTCTTCTTTTTTCGAACTCTTTTTTCTTCTTTTTTTATTATTTCCCCCCCCTTTTTCAGAAAATCAATTTCTGAAAAATTGATTATATATATATGTATATATATATATAATCTAGTTCAGTGCAAGGGGGGCGCGCGCTTGCGCGCGCCCCCCTCGCAAGCTGAACTGGTTCAGCGCAGGGGGGCGCGCGCTTGCGCGCGCCCCCCCGCACTGAACCTACCTTTAAATTATCTTCAGATAATAAACTTTCAGCATTAATGTATAATCACTTTAATGCTGAAAGCGCACATAATATTGGGGGCCCATCTTTTATCTTCCTCATTCTGTCTTCTTATCTTTATGATAAGAAGACAGAAGGAGGAAGATAAAAGATGGGCCCCCAATATCTATGTGCGGGGGGGACCAGGAAAGAATAAAAAAAAGAAGAAAAAGAGCGGCTTGCTTTAGCAGGCCGACGAAAAAAGAGAAAGAAAGAAAGCAGAGAGGGGGACGCTATTGCCGCTAGGGGTGTAGAAAAAAAATATATATTTTTTCTCCCCTTCCATCATATACACATATTATTTATAATATAATGTATATTGAAGGAGAAAAAAAATATGCACCCTCCTCGCTCCGCGTAGACATATTGGTTTTCCTACTGGGTTGGCGGAGCCAGCCCCTACTAATTAAAAAACCGTTTTTATTAATTCTAATGAAATTAATAAAAACTCTCTATTAATAAAAAAAGAGAGAAAGAGAACCCCCTGCATAGCTAGCCCCGGCGCCGCCTAAGGGCTGGCATGCCCCGGGGGCATAGCGTACCCCCCTTATTTTAGATAAAAATAAGTTGAAGAATACTGGCCCAATAGGGCCAGTAAGAAGTGGAAAATCAGAGAGAGGGGGCTGGCTTGAACGAAGTTCATGCCAAGCTAAAAAAACAATAAGCCGCTAATATGGCGATTAATCTATTACTATTTGCATAAGAGATATAGGACTTTAACCTATGGGCTTTCGTGTGTAAAACGAGCGCTCTTCCATCTGAGCTAACCTCTTACCTTTTTATATATGTTACTTATACATTTTACAACTTTTATTTTTAGTTTATCACTAAAGATCTCTGAACAAGAGATTTGATTAACGAATCTGCTCGAATATCGCTATGGTATTCGATCATCCTCCCTCTCTATTTAAACACGACGCTCTCTTTTAAGCTACCAAAAATATTCGAAGTCTAATGGTTTTGTTCCTTATCAAGAAATGAATAGATATTAAAGAAAGAAATAATATTATAAAGAATAACACCCATCCCTACCCCCTCTCCCCCCTTGTTCAGTGCTCCTATTAAGGTTTATTAACGAACTTACGTTCTTTAATATACCCTTGATAGGAGCGCTGAACTAGGATCGATTTGGAAGGGGGTTTGGAGAAGGCAAAAAGAGTAGATGAAAAATAGAATCCATCCTCTAGAGTGCTTCGCTCCCACCCCCCCCCCAAGAGTTGGATAAAATCAGAATTAACTGAAATACTCTCACGAGTAGGTGAAGGACCTAACACAATAACTTGAAGGCTAAACTCTGACAATGAATATTTCAGGATAGCCGCACAAATAGCACTACCCCCCGACTAGCTTGAGCCTTAAGGTATGAGAGCCGAAAGTAATCTGACAACCTAGAAGATAAATCCATAGCACTCCCGACGTATTGTTTTCCATTGCGTTTGTTTGTCCATATATAAACTCCTCTTTTCTTAGTCAAGAGAGTTCTAATAGTTCCTTCTGAAACTAGGACATCTGAGTACTCCAAAGCACCAGCGGGCAATGATGCAATAGGAATTAACGAGCATAATATTTCTCCCCCCTAACTTGTGTACAACGTAGTATGTTAATATTAACATATGTTAAAATTGGACTATATCTTTAATAACACTAATAAAAATTAATGTTAAACACAACGTCTAGTCTCTACATAATAGAAATATACAAATTAATATATATTACTACGTACACGGTATTATCGTTTATACCCGTTGTAACGATCCCTTTCAAGAATCAGTATAAAGACTTCACCGTTAGCCCCAATTCTTCTCTGAGTATCTGCCAGTATCCCTCCCCTATATACACCTTCGCCGCCTCCCTCTTCTTCTTTCTCCCTCATTTTTTCTTCTTTATATCTTTAACTTATATGCATCAATAGATGCATGGTTCAGTGCTGGGGGGGCGCGCGCAAGCGCGCGCCCCCCCTGCGCTGAACTAGAAGTTAGAAGTAAGAAAGAAAGAAGGAGGGAGAAAGAAGAACGCAGAAGCTGACACCCCTGACGTTTCAATATATAATTATAGATAATAAATAAATATAATATATATATATTGAAACTTTTCCCAAGCGAAGCTGACTCCCCCTCGAGGGTGCGGTATCTCTGACGACGTAGCAAAGCTACGTAGTCAGGGTACCTGCACCCCCTCTCTCTTCTTACCCCCTCTACTTATACAACAAAGTCCTTGACTATGTTGTATAAGAATAGAGGGGGGGAGTACTAGCCAATGGGTAGGGCAAATAAGAGAGAGAGAGAGGGGGAGGGACAGGCTCCGCCTTAGCCGGGAGTCAGCTTCGCTGCTTTCTTTTCTTCTTTTTCCTCTTTCTTTCTTCGAAAGAAAGAGGGAAAGCGCAAAAGAAGAAAATGGGGGCGTGTGTAGATGGGTTAGCAAGCTAGGGAGGGGATGCTCAGATACTCAAAGCAAGAGAAATGGAACCGATATTTTAAAAAATATAAATATCTTTGAAGTGTGACCGCAAGACACAATGTACTATTAAAATAAATACAAGTTTTTACACCAAGCTGCGAACTACTTAGCTTAAGCAGCTCGGAGGTGTATATCTCTAGTTAAACATAACCCGTGCCCCCCCCGAAGGTCCTTTCCCCCCCCCGGATATATGTGTTTAACATATATGTCTCTCTTTTTATTACCATATATATATAATTTATTATATAAATTATTATATATATGGAATAAAAAGATTGGGGGGAAGTAACCCCCTTCGAGATTCTCTCGAATGATTATATAATTAAAGAAAAAGAATTACAAGCTTGTAATTCTTTTACTTTAATTATATAATCAGTTCAGCTACGCTGAACGGGGGGTGAGGGGGGGGCGGCATAGCCGCCCCCCCCCTCCTCGGGTAATAAAACAAAAAAGTAAAGAAGTTACATGCTTGCAACTTCTTTTTCTTTTTCTTTTCTTTTTACCTTCACACCTGTCACTCCCCCCATGTCCACCCTCTGAGTCCTTGGCTCCTTTAGTGGAGAAGGGGGAAGAGGGAGAACAGGAGGGGGAGTGAAATGTCCCCCTCCTTACTCCCCTCTTACCCCCCCTACACGTATTCGTGTGTAGGGGGAAGAGGGATGCATATATTTATAAACATAATACATACAAGCTCTACGCTTGTTTATGTATTACTTTATAATATATGTGAGAGTGAGGAGGGGGGAAATGTTTATTAACTCATTCTTGATATTTAGTATTTTTATCTCCTAATAAAGGATAAGAATAAAAATGAGAAGCCAATAGATTACGAACTTCTGAACCACCTATATATATTTTATAATAAATAACTCCTTCTTTAGATAAAGTAAAGCTTATTTTATTATTTTCTTTGTTAAAATAAGTAAGGATAGCTTTTAAAAGGTGTTTTTCATAATTTTGTCCAATAATAAATTGAGAAACATGAATAGAATTATTTGCGAGGGGCGTAGAGCGCCCCTTGCATCGGCCCGCTGCGCGGGCCGACGCTCTTTTAACTAATCTAAAATGACCCTCACCTTCAATAAACCCAGATAATCAAGCAGGAAAATAACTAGGAATAACAAAGTTTTTATCATTATAGTCTAACATTATTTCTTGGTTTTTATATTTTTCATTTCTTAATTTAATAAACTCTTGTTCAGATATATCTTGGTTAGAATCAATGAAATCTTTAGCAAAATCTAATTGACATAGTTTTCTAGTAGAAAGTAAAGGATATTTAGCAAGAATAGCAAAGACTTTAGCAATATCTGTTCTACTAGTAGCATACCATGTTACATATCTATTATTACGTTCAATAACAACTCTTCCACCAACATATTTTGCAATTAAACTTAACATAAATCTATTATCTTCGAAATTATTTAGGGCAATAAATATTCTAACACGTTTCTTACAATTATTAAAAAAATCGACCGTTATTGTACCATCACCTTCTAGCAATCCAACAAAGAATTGTTCAATATAGTTCTTTATCTCTGTTTCACTTTTTCCCTCTAAAAACTTATTAATCTTAATACGAGAACCTAATAAGTTATTTTCTTTTGTATTTTCAGAAGAGCTTGCTCGCTCCGCTCGCTCCGCTAGTGAAAACAAATAAAATATAAATAATATGGGATAAATTAATAAACCAAAGGAATACTCTAAGAGGTGTTTATCTAGGACAGTTAAAAACAAGTATAATATATAGTAAGTATCATGGAAAGCGATATCTAATGAAGCGTTCGCTAAAACTACTCCACTTACGTAAAAAAAATATTAATTAATCTTTTAATGTTATATTAATCCCTTAATCTTTCATAACTAAAGATATACCCTTTATAAATACCGCCTATCTTAGCGTAATTTTTAATAGTACTATGAGATAATTTTAAGGCTCTTTGGGCTGCCATTACTCCATCATATTTACCAATAAAATTTCTATTCTGATCATATACAAATACTGCTTTTAGAATATGACTATTATTATTAATATTTAATAATAATTCTTCACATTCTTTTGAATTTCAATCCGCGGCCCCCTCCTCCTCCGGAGGAGGAGGGCTGCTTCCCCCCCCAGGGGGGGACGCTATTTTAGGTGTATCACTTAAATTATAAGGTATATTACTTAAATATCATTCGCCCCTAAATATTGTTTGTTCTTTGATAATATTAACTAATGTTGAATGATTAGATTTAATTAAATTAGCTAAAGTTTTAACAGAAGGGAAAATAACTAATAACTCTTTAAAGGAGTTATAGATATAGACAGGGTAAGCTGAGTTAGCTTCAATCATTCTTAACTTACTTTCTATAGAATGACTTTTATTATAAAAAGGATTATTTTCACCTGTTACAGCCCTTGCTATTAAACCTTTAGTTTTCTCAGAATGTGTCCTACTCTTAGCTAATTCAGATAGTAACTTCTTGGTTTCTTCTGTATGTTTATAACCTAAAGAAGAATAACCTTGCTTTAAAACATTGTAATAAGGTATAATATATGTGATATAAAAAGTTTCTCTAGCAGTTAAAAACTCGTATCCAACATATTCTAAAATTAAAAGAGTAAAATTTGATTGATCGTACTTAAGTAAAGCTCTGGTAATAGGCATATTAGCATTTTGTTTACTTTTTAAAAAAACCTTATTAAGATAGTTTCTCATTCTAGAAGCTAAATTAGTAGAACTTCCTACGTAAGCATGCCCATTTACCTTATTAATTAAACAGTAAACACCCGATCTACCTATTTGTTCCTTTAGTATCTTAAATCTATCTTCTTTTAAGCTCACATAAACTTTTTCAGCCTTTAAATTTTGGGTATTATCTTGATTACCTGGCTTATTACTAAAGTTAGAATAAGATCGAGTTATTACTGTACGATAATTTAAGATTAATGAATATTTTTTTACCTGGACTATATTTTCTCATAATAAATTATGAGGACTACGTTTAGTCTCTGAGGAACCCAACGTCTTATAACCCGAGCCGACAGCTTGGACATTGATCTTGTTTGATACTATCCGTTGGTTTCCTGCTGATTGTTCAAAATCATACTTTGTTACTGAGATTAAATAAAACTCGAGTAGCATAATTGTCAGAATTTCCCAGCATATGGTAGTCTCGAAATATAAAGGGAGAGCTAAGTGGATTATTAACCCTCCTAGAGTAAACATAAACACAAATCCTAGTGCAAATAACATAGGTGTAGTGAATTGCAGTGAACCTCCATAACAAGTAGCTAATCAAGAAAATATTTTAATTCCAGTAGGAACTGCAA